CTCCCTTTCAGGGGGGGTGCTGGCTCTGGATGATTCGGCAGGCTCCATGGATGGTGACCTACCTACAGTCGCCATTTGAGCCGATAACTTCCGACTGTGTTCGCTCAGCTCAGTTTTACCCCTCAGGACAGCTGCTAAGGCATATGTCCTGGCACACCAAGCTGGAACGACGGGCCGAGGGAGGGTATGCTTCTGTTTCCGGTGCTTGCGCCATACTATGCCTGTGAAGGGGGGCTGCCTGCCCAGGGCAGGTGCTAAGGCACCCGTCTTGGTTCCTTGACGCACTGCCTTGGGGTTAGGGGAATTCCGTATGAAACTCCTCGTCGAAGGCGTCCGAATCTGGTCCTTCTGTGGGAAGCAGCTCCACCCAAGGTGGTTTTTCAAAATTGTCGCACATCAGAAACGCGTTATGTTCTGCCTGTACGATTCGGTCGATCCAAAGTGACGAACGTTCTCCAAGGTTCACAAATGTTCTCGGGACATTTGTGGACATGCAAAACCATACTCAAAACAGTTCTACGCTTCACAAAGGTTCTAAAAACAGTTGGGAACAACTAAGAGCATAGTCTAAACATCTTCGGGTGTTCTCGGACACCTCATACACAAACTACAAGCATAGGGAAACATTGAAAGGGATCTTTCAATGTCCTCAAAAGCTAACGAACGTCATTCAAACAAGCCAAAAACTCTCTATGGCTTTCTTTGCGGTCTCTAAACAAGTGGTATGGAGTCTTCGCTCCTCAGTACTATAAATTCTCACACCCCCTTTCGAAGCTCACATGCCACTTTGGACAGTGGTCACTCGCTGTTCCAGTAAGCGCTTGCGCTCACAGCAGCTACACAAACCAAAAGAGGTGACTTTCTTGCCTCGCAAGTATTGGCATTGACGGTCAAGGTGGAATTTGGACCCAGTCGAAGTCACAAAAACCTCAAGTACTACATTGAGATTAACTATTCCCGTCGAAGGTACGCATCGCAAAACTGCAAAAGTGGGGTGCGGAGACTGTGGTCGGGTATGCGGCGGGGTGTGCGGCGGGGTGCGCGCTAAAAGTGAAAAACACGTGGTCGGGTATGCGGCGGGGTGTGCGTCAACCCTGGCTTCAATCATGAAAAAAAAGCGTTTAAGTCAGGTTTGCCGCAGTACCGGCCGCTAGTTTTCCATGTCACATTTCCAATCTGGACACGCTCCGTGCCATACACTGAGCCGCACTTTTCCCATCTTTCTTCATCGATCTCAGTGGTCCAAGCAGGCTGTCTCATGAAAGGAACGCGCCTCTCGGGCCTACTTTTGCACCTCAAGATACAGAGGGTGAGTCATCATCTGATGATGCCTCAGCAGAAATGACATTCGTATCAGTCAAAGGGTCCGTCAGAGGTGTTGCAGCAGGCCAGCAGGCCTTCAGGTTGCCGTAGGCCAGAACCTCAAGCACAACACATGCCGCTGCAACCAAAAAAGCAAACAAGCACACACACACACACAGCGCAACAAAAACAAAAAGGAACATGCAACCGGGTGGATTCGCCTGTTTCAAAATTGAATCATTGGGTAAGCAGTGCCCGCAAAAATCACCAAAGCAAGCGCACAGCATCACTTAACTACTGAAATCTGCTAAGCAAATCACAACACCATCATTTATCCGAGCAACAGCCAAGAGTACTGATCCTACCACCGGCACCGACATCGTGTTCCCGGCAAACTTGTTCCACGCGGTGACTGAAACCATCCTCGCCGCTCTTCCCCAATCCATTCGATGGAGAGGAAATCCATGACACCCCAGCATGTCCGCAGCGTTCAATACCCGGCGCCGCCTGAAACTCCAAATGAGTGAGTTGGTCGTCAACCTCAAGAATTTCAGGATAGATTGATCATGAGTCATGAGTAATTCACAAATACTGTGCTTGAATTCCAGTTTCTGGAAATATACAGAACACATAAGCTGATGCATTCAAATTCAAACCCGCATCATTCATCATCACTCGTTTTTACTCACGGGTCCAAAATGGTCCAAAGCTAATCTACTAGCAAAAGTCCGACGTGATCCAAGTAGCGTCGGGATACTGCCGTTGTCCTTCAAAGGCATCCGGTGGATGCTCTTGACGATGTCAGCCATCAACTGTGAGGTGTCCATCCCTTTTGCCTCAACACGGTATTACTGGATTCTTTGAAACATAAAGTACAGTATATTTGCTCAAACAATATATTAATAAATATAATTAGACTGGATCCACGACAGACTCACCCATACTGTACTTGAAACTTGAAACTGTTGGTTTTGACGTTTGATGTGGCATGCTCCAAGGGGCTTCAGCCTTCCGCCAAGCAATGTCCAGCACCTGTTCCCGTGCGGGGTTGATGTCTACCTTCCAAGCAGGACCACGAGCCTTTGCAGCCTTCTCGGTATACCTGATTCGCACAATTTGTGCCACTGCAGCAAGCTGCAAGCAAAACAAAGTGGCAACTGGCGCATGGACACTTGATTCTGGTGCAATTGACTCGCTGATCTGGCACAACAAAATAAAGTGGAAACCCAAGTTGCGCGTGATCATTGGCGTGCATACCCAACTCCTTGCGCGCTGCCTCGTGAGCGCTCGCTGTCTTGGCAGTCAAGGCCCCTTTGGCCTCCGAGTCTTGCTTTTCCAACTTGCGCCTCTTCCCAGGCAAAGACAAGTTTGAGTCCTGCAAACCACCCAAGTCCATGAGAATTAGAATGAGTGAAGGAATCGCGCAGTCAATAATTCTGTCTGAATGCCAGGTGACAAGTGGATTCGATTGTCGCGTGGTGTTTGGAGGCCTGGTGCAAAAAGATGTTACGCCGGCCAAATTTTGTACGCCTCAGCACGCCTTGCTGAAGAGAAATCCCTGCACGTGAGTCTAGCGACCTCTTTATTCCTCATAAACAGAACCAAGTGGACATTGAACGAGTCAGACAATTTCAATTGCACTAGGCTATAGGCTATAGGGCTTAGGGTATAGGCAGGTCAGAAGTCAGAGATCGGTTTCACGTGATTGAAGACCCCACGGCTCATGAGAACCACCCACAAAAGTGTCTACTTGGGCTAGAGTGCTAGCAGCACACCCAAGTCGATCTGCGAGCACCACGCACACATGCTTCTAAACGAACTCATTTCAAACAGCTGCATTGGACCACGGTGGTGCTGCTTGTACTGCTCGCATCGTCAAAATCAAAACTAAGAATTCTGCTACTGCTGCTTGCTCCGTGCTTCCTTGTTGGAAGCCTTGACCAATGCTGCAAGGTGATTCTTTACAATCTCTGGGATAGTTTCCCGTTTCAAGCCCCACTCTGCACAATCTTTGTACAAAAGAGCGACTTCCTTTGCCGTCTTTTTGGTCACGGTTGCAGTGCATAGGTCAGAAGCGCAGAACACGAAAAGGCAAAGGGCAAAGGATTCAGTCGTTGGATCCTTGGAAAGCTCTCCTTGCAAGTTGCTCAGCAAGTCTTTCTCCTCCGGGTGCATCATTGATTTGAACGGTTCCAAGCCCTGCACGGTTTTCTCGTAGCCGTTCAAGAGCCGCACACCTTACCAGTTTTAATCATATAGACTAACTATAGAGTCAGAGTCTTAGACTACTTACTGTATAGATTTTGATTATATATTGTTATATTATATTATATTATGACAGAATATGAGACTATGACTCGACTATGACCCAGAACATGAACAAGTTTCGGTGACGAATTGACCCTCAAAAGCACAACCCCTTGGGCCAAGTTATGCACGCAGAACCACAAACAGAGATTGGAAATTCAGAAATTGATCGATTGAGATGCAAGTCACTGTCCGTCATGTCTTTGAGAGCGCCCGGGGCATCCAACTCCTCGTTTATGAACTTGTTAGCCAACGCCTTGAAAGGCTCTAAATCCCAAGTGTCCGCATGGAACTGCGGAGTGATGTTCACCATATTCAATCCATCCCTTTTCGCAGCCACAGACTGCTTCAGGTCGACGATAGAGGTTTGATATCAGTGAACGTCGTTTGAAGGATCTTGTGCATGCTGGCGACGCTGTCATCGACCGGCGCCAAACCCAATTCAGACCACCCCGTCGCTTGGCTTGCATCCATCAAAGCAGTACACGCCTCCAGCATGAGCTCTGCATTGTCCTTCCACGTGGAGTTGGCAAGCAGCTTGCTGTCGGGCTGGAGACTGCTGTGCAACTCTCGCAGCCGTAACAATCCCATCGCCTGCCCAAACTGTTTGTGAAAACCAGCTGCTCTACAAGCATGGGAGAGGTTGCAAAATGAATTGACCAGTTGTGAACTGCAGTGGAGTATCACGGTATCACAACACATTCAGGCCGACCTCACTGAAATACCGTACCTTCTGACATTACAAAGAATGAATGAAGAGACTGACGACCTTCAACACAGCCGAAATCGCTGAAACCTCATGAACAGCACACTGCGGTCACTTCAACGCATTCTTGGAAAGACCGTCAAAAAGTAGTTTGCGCCCGCGCCCGCCTCTTTTGACAGCAAAGTTGTCACAGCACGAGGGGGTTCTGACAGGGGCACCTTCTTGCACCAAGTCTTCTCTCGTGCCTGAATGTCCGCCTCCAAAGAATTGAAGGCCTGAAGCACCTCCACAAACGGTTCGCACTTGGGCCGCTTGTCCTCAGTCAGGGTTACTATTGCCTAGCTGATAAATGGATCCGTTGAAATTGTAGTCCAATAGGCTAGGCCAATAGGACTTTGCGCACAAGGTTTGCAGACTATATGTGCCATTTGCAAACTGCTTTGAATGCAAAAAGATGCGATTAATTAAGTAAAACAATTTCGGGTCGGTCTTTGTATTCCCCGCATCCGTATCCGGTATCCATTCATATATTTAAATATTTATATAAGACAAAAATATTAACATTGTATACACACTGATGTGTTGTTTCTTTGACTCCTCCCACCCCAAAACAATGGCAGCCGCAGCAAATGGAGTAACAAGATTCAATGGAACCAGTCAAGCTCTTCAATGTTGCTGGCATCGCCTTCTTGAGCTTGGACCAGGGTTTCAGGACCGAGATAAACTCTTCATCCTTTGGGTTCTGCTCGAAGGCCTTGATGGTCTCTCGAAGGTTCACGGCATCTTGCGCAAGCACTTGAAGCTGATCCAACTGCCTGTGTATCTGAGCTGGCAGCACCTGCTTGGCCCAATCACAAAATAAGTCAGTACTTAGAGACGAGAAGGAATCATAATTTATCTTTATCATAATAACTTAACAATTCCCAAATATTTCCAAGGAACACATTCTTCTAGTTAGTTGTTCAGTAATTGTTCTCTTTAGTCAGAAATGCCACGCCTTCACCCACACGTAGAGAAGCATGACCTCCTTCAAGTTGACCATCAGTTCCCGATGCGTCTCATTGAAGTCCTTCTCGCCGGTTTTCAGCACTGATTTAATGCTGAGCTGGATCATCACACAAATTTCGCTTGAAAACTTGATCAGCTTGTCTCCCACCTCACGGCAAAAGGTGACGATCGGTTCAATTTCATCCGCACCAGGGACAGGGCCGCCTGAATGAAGCTCCTTTTCCAGCATGCGCCATGTGTCCATCGTGCGGCACACTTCTCTCACCCGAGCCCCGTCCACACTGCACAGCTTGTAGAGTCGTTGAACAGTGTCCGTGTGGCATGGCCTTGCAGGTTAAAGACTGAACTGAACTATTCAACTTGATTGAAATTGACGATTGAATTATTTAAACACAACATAACATATCATCTCAAACCCTGTCACAGTCTCATACAGTACATACAGGCAGCAAACGAAAACACAATGCAATAAGGGCACGGTGGATCCACAGAACTGGGAAGCCAATTCTCATGCTCCTTCACAAACGGTAGGAATCCTTTCAGCTTGGACAGAGTATCAGTGTGGGACACGGCTTCCTCTGCAACCACGTTGAGGGCCTTCGTGAGCTGCTTTCCCAGCGGTGTAGATTTCCTTGGAGCTTAACCAAAACCAATCCCACAAGTATACAGTATACAGTATATACAGTATATAATATATTATTTCAAAGTTCAAACTTTGAACTTCAATCTCAAACTAAACTGTCACCTCCTAGCCGCAGCCTCCTATCGTATCCCAAAGGACTGACTGATGAGATATAACAATTTTTTAAAATAAAATAAAAACATTTCTTGAGCGCACATGTTGGAATCAGAATAGTTTGCAATTTGGCTGACAGGAGTTGCTGACACTTGAGAAGCCCTGCAGCTCTAGAACAAAGCTGTGGTGGAAAAGAGTTTCCTGACTCTTGCTGATCTTTCTCTGCCTCCAAGGCTTGCAGACCACAACGCAAAAACGTAATGTCGCACGCAAGGACCATTGACCAGCAGTCGTCTTGCACGTTATTCATCGATTCCTTCTCAAACCTCACATCCTGCAAGGACTTCACACTGCACGCTGTCTCTGCCAGAGCACGCTTCAACAAATCCATGGGTCCAATCTCGGCAGAATCCTTCTGGCGGAGGCATTTCTCAATGAGCATGGAGATGAGTTGATTCTGAACATTGATGGCCACCTGAGCATCCTTCTTGGAACGAAGAAGAGACGTATTGAACGCATTCTTGCTCTCAAGACTGGCCAATGCAAACAGCAATGAAACGGGATCTTCCTGGTCAGCATCGTTGCGGCAGTCTGGTGCTTCCTGCATGAAATCTTTGACCAACTCAGCACCAGCCTTCAGCAGGATCGTACTGACCAAGGACTGGTCCAGACTCGCGAGCAAATCAGATTCGTCCTTTTCAAAAGCAGTGAGCAAGACAATGGATAGAGAGTTCCTCGCCGCACATGCAAAACAGTGGCAATGTGCAGATCTTTTTTTTAAACCTCGAGGCCTTGAGGTGATTGAACGATGTAGGTGGGAATGGCCTCTGAGCAAAGACTATTTGAAGGTTTACTGAATCATTTATCATTTATCTATTCTATTGTTGATATCATGTCAAATTCAACACCTTCGAGACTATTTGTCCGAATTTGTCATTGTCCCTGCCTGATCTTGTCGAACACCTTCATCAAGCCCTCGATCCTGTTGAATTCGGCCCACATGCTTTGAGAAAGGCCATGGGCTTCGGGATGTTGCGTTGCTGGCAATTTACCGCTGTGCTGGGAAATGGAACTTGCCAAAGAATCGAAGTTCCTGCAAGCAAATATAGTACAATGACAACAAATGAAGGCAATATATAACACGGCTTACTAACTCTGTGTTCACGGGTAGCTGTTTGTATTACGTATTACTGTATTTGTATATCATAAAGTATTACATATTTAATATTTCAATATTTAGGGTCCATGACTTTGCAACAAACTTTAGACTTTCTACCATGGTCTAAAACCCAGTCCTTCTTCGAGGTGGCTGATTCCAAATCTTGTCTGGCTTCCACATCGCAACCATTTTGTCGAAGACCTCTCTGGCCTTGTTGACGACGTTTTCATCCTTCTTGGATTCACCTTGAGGCCTCTTCGGAGGTGGTGGTGGTGGCATAGGCTCCTCCTTGTCAAGCCCGTTCAGGCCTCCTGCTGGCTGCCTCTCTTCTTGCGACATCGGCGTCGGCGTCGGTGCAGAAGCTTTGGTTCTCTTGTTCGGGTGATGATCCTGCTTTGCGCGAAACAAAAAGAAAGAGTCGAGTATACAGTATGGTAACGTCTTGTGTCGGTGGTATACACTATACTGTATTGTATTTGTATCATTTGTAAGTCTACGCTGCGTCTATGACTCTATAGTCTATGAGTCTATGACTAAGACTATGACTCAGACTCTATGACTCATTGCCGTTTTGAAAATCAGCTACTGAAGTTGGCAAGGCCAAGCCCGAGATATGTTTTTTCTCGATTGAAATCGAAACATGACTGAATGTCCGAATGCATCCTTTTCCCAACAACATGTCCTCTGAGTTTCTGTCTTGGATCGCCCTCCGTCGGGATGTGTTAGGAGCGGCGGCGACACCAACAGCTGCAATGCTGTCCACAAACATGTCATCAACCTCGGCATTGCCACTTTCGTCTTCGCCTTCGCCGTCAGCGGATTCAGCGATACCGCTCAGATGTTCACGCATTGCAGCTGCATCTCTGGCGCTGGCAATCGCTTGTCTTTGAAAAGAGTTTTCCATTGCCTGTACTGCCTCCAGCCCGGTATCGTGCTCTTTTTCCTCGGACTATATCGGTCCAGAAATTGGACATGTCCCCATGCCTGTTTTTCCATCGTGATTGAATCGGCTTGAACGACCCACAATGTTTTTCGAGTTACACAAGCTTCTCTAGCAAAGTGTTTCTCAACAACTAAGAAAGGAACACGAATCTTGCCAGCAGAACACGAAGATCCCACTCGTACTCTATGGTGTCCAGGTTTGCCGTCAAGAATTAGCACCCCAGAGATACCTTGATGCTGCACAATCTTGGCAGTGCCCTGTGTCGCCTGCATCCAAAACAGTACGCCCAAACCAAAAACAAAGCGGTGGATGAAAATGGAGCATGTATACCACACCTTTGCGGTTTTGTTTGGACACCCTATACCAAATTGCCAAATTGTTTTGTTTTTTTCTCAGCGTGCATCGACTAACCTGGCCTGGGTCACAAAGGCCTGCTGGATGTCAGTTGAAGCGTCAAACACATGCTTGGGGGCATTCTTTTCCTTCAAGAACGCGCGAATCTCCACCTTTGTGCGAGACGCATCAAAACAGAGGCTTTGATGCAAGCTGCACACATGTCATGTCGCATTCCCGCTCACAAATTGTTGTTGTGTCTATAGTTTACTGGCTGACTGTCCAGTCCTATCTATATTCATATTATTATATTGATTTGTTGAATTTGTCAATTTATTACGTTTGCGGCTTAACATGGACGAGCCGCAAAAACGCCATCCTGATACATCTGAATGAAGTCTTCTTTTTTCTCAAAGGTTTTCAGCTCAACCTTCTGGTACTTTGGTCGCCCCAAGCTGCGTACTGCATCTCGACGAGCCGTATCAAAAACTTCTTGTAAATCCTGCGACACACACGAGGGTCAAACACTTTGGTCGCACAGAAGCCTTGGAAACGAAGCAATGGCAGTAAGCAAAATCGAAATTCGTGAATGGTCTGAATGGTGCCTCCAAATCCTGAACGCCCTGTTACTGTTTCAATCAAAGTTGAGAACAACTTGAACCCAGGCCTCAGATCCTGCCAGCATGGCCTGAAGCTTTTTGAGGCTCGTGCCCGGAAAGCACGCTGTCCTGTAAAGTTCGAACAAAAGTCATCATGGTTTAAAACTAATTTTCAATTTGCATCAAAGTGTTTTTTCGTGGCCGAAATCAACATCGTTCCGTCTGGTCACAAGACAAATCCCCTGCCTGACCCGTGTACACTTTGTGCACTCGTTGCCTTCTGGCACTGTCCGCTTTCCTGCAAGAGGAGATGATAAGTAATAGTATATAGAGTCTAGTCTATATAATATACATATATATTATATTATAATAATTAATAATATAATAGTCATGAGTCATGAATAAAAGTTAGAGTCAGAGTCATAGTCATGAAGAAGTGTGCAGCCTGGCAACGTTCCCAATTGGTTTAGTGGTGGCTGCTACCAAAGAAAAACTAGCAAATCTTTATCAAAACCCAGTCCTTGCGAATCTTTGCCTTTCTTCTCCCAGTGCACATGTGTTGAGTCATCATCCAGGTCTTTCTCCAGGTCGCTTGGGCCTTGCCTACACAAGGCACAGGTGGGTTCAGCAGCAGCGGCTGAAGCCATTCCAAGGACTTCAAGAGGCGGCAGCTTCACTGAAAAACAAGTCAATTACTCGAAGCCCAAAGCATTCGGCCAGAACAATGAGATTCGAACCCCTTCAGCGGCAAACGAGAGACAGTTAGTATAATTAGTAATTAGTAATTAGTAGTATACCGTCATAGTCTAGAACGAATCTTAGAGTCATAGTTAGTAAATACCTATAAAAGCCTAGCCTATACTATAGCCTCTCTATGCCCATGGCCCATAGCCTATGCCGCGCCTATTGTGTATTGCGCCTATGCCCTAGGCAGCTGCCGAAAAGGCAAAATCAATGCTTTGTGGACAATGCGCAGAAACACTTGAAACTGGACACAGCAAAAGGAATTGCAGTTTGATTTGTCACTCTGAAGTGGTCAGAAGTAAGACTCTGCATAAAG